ATATTTGTGGTATTTTATGCGGAGAACCCTTGCCAGGAGTTGAACCCACCACATCCTCGAACGCTGTCGCGAAGAAAGCCGCATAAGCCCAATGACGGTGTCGTAACAAAGGTCGATGTGACTGGCCTTTTGAAACGAAAGGCCTCGACCCCCTTACTTCCGAGGCAAAAGATTACTCCCAGCCATGACTTTCAGTGTTTTCTACCTTACGGTTTCGGAGTCGTTTAGATCCCATTCCGGAAGACGCACGTTTTATTGTTTCGTTATACAACTATTTATGAATTATTTAATAATGGCGAAACATCAGCCGCGGTAATACAAAGGAGACTATCCGATGCTGTTAGCAAGATCTTTGCGGTAAAGCTCAATGTTTTGTTCACATCGCAATCAATTGTGTTTACGATCAAAGGGCAAAATGCCGGATTCTGCCGCCTTTTTATGTGTGTACTCATTCACCTGTTCCTGTGGAACAAGGTTCATAGGCCGCACGGTCAGGTGTCTGCCCGAACGAATCTGTCAACACCACCCCGCATGGGTCAATACGGGAAAAATCGCCCCACCCCCAGCCCATATCCAGAGCAGTCCGAACGACTGAATGACCTAATAGTTAAGTGACCGTTGCGAATCCCATATGCGATCCGAAGAGGACATTCATCATCACCGTATAACGTAATCCAGTGAGGCAAAATTTACCGACAGCTACCAAACCCACGGTGCACACAAGGTAAGTGAAAGTGTACAAGGGGGATAAAGATTAGGGCCGGGAAAAGAAAGTGAACCTTTGTGGTTAAAACATAGAGCACAGAGTCCAACTGTGTACACACATGTTTTCAAGTATTCTGAAATGATAAGCAGTGACAGCAAGAACGACAGTGCTGCCGGTTTGCTCCAATGACTTTCAGTGTATACAGCCATCCTGCAACGGAGTCTTTGGGAACCCAACCCGAAAAAGAGGAGACACCCACTTTACCTAATCGCTCTGTGCATTTCTTCATGCCTCGTCTCCACGCATTCTGCTGGCTTCCACCTTGCTTTCTGCAGTCTGCAGCCGTCACTGCCAATGAGGCACGATGCGATAGACGACCGTTAGACATACGCAATACGTGTCCTAACCAACAAAGCCTATTGAGCTGGATCCGATACGCTAGCGAGTTCGTGATCGATGCATTCCAAAAGACCCGACGATTTACTTCTAGGTTTCTAACCCGCTCACTCCATTCCACCTAGGCCCGACTACGTAAGCAACGATTGTCGAAAACCACTAGGCATCGGATGTATTATACCCGCAAATTCAAGGTCTCACAACCGTAAAGCAGGGCTGATCGTACAGTGGCACAGTATACGCGACTTTTCAACTTCAATGAAACATCACGTCGTCGCCACTGGTGTTTCAGTCCTGCGTAAGCTGCTTGAGCCTTGGGAATGTGAGCGGTTATCTCCTTTGATGCGCTACCGTCGCTGGTCACGCAGCTACCCAAGTACGAGAAGCAGTAGACTTCAGCTAATTTCTGACCGTCAGAACGGGACTCGGTGACACCCATTCTTGAAGTATCACTTTGCACTTTGAAAGCGCATGCCGAACTGAGCAACAGAACTTGCTAGTCTGTCAAGTGCTATTTGTGCATCCTCCATGCATTCCAGCAGACAGACGATGTCGTCATCCTACTCTAGGTCACAGCTTTTTCCCGTCTGCCCATTCCATAGCAACATTTAGGAGATCAATTGGTGCGTTCTCCAGAATTTCGTCCATAACGAAGTTGAACGGGAATGGTGAAATAGGACACTCTTGACGAACATCGCTGCTAGTTATGAACGACCTACGCAGCTCGCCGTAGACCCTTACGTTACCAGAAGTATGCGAGTAGAGTGAACTGGTACCATTGGTACCATTTGGCACTGTGTGATCAGTGGAGAGATCAACGGTCAGTTCGCTGTTCTGTGCCTATACAACATTGTTCGAAACTATTGGAATGGGATTGTGTTTTGGTGAGTATGTTGCTTGTTACTTGCGCATTTAATCGTTTGCGTAGAATTTCTGTAATGTAAAATTGATATCCGACAATTCACAACAGGAGTGGTTGCTTTATCCAGGATCGTTATTGTTTCACTCCAATCTTTTTTACCAAACAAACTGAACAGGTCACTTATAGTATTCCAATTAATTTTATCTCGTACTTACCTTTTTGTCTCTCCTAGGCATTAGTTGGACTAATCGGTTCAACAGGTCTTTCGGCCGGAATCCTTCCCCGCATCGCACTGTATGCGCTTACAATACTTCAGTTGCACACTAGTTTCGTCTATGCCTTCCATCCCCGCTTGATCTACTCGCGATGGCTTCGGATGCGATTTGCCTTGCGCAGTTTGGCCGCTGGTGGAGTCTACCTACGCATGTTAGGTGCCGGTGTCATGCCGTTCTCTACTCCTGAATCAGACAGTGGACCTTCCCTTGAATACGGCCTTTATGCTTTGGGAGTCACTCTCATCTCGGTTTTCAGTGTTNTCTTCAGCTTCCTGTTGGCCTTGTGGCTGTCGACCGGGAAGCCCAGCTCCTGGAACAAAGTTCTATTTGGCCTCTTTTTTCAGAAATGCACCTTGCCTCATGGATAAGTGGACTGTTGACAGTATTGCTAATAGCCGCAAGTTTTGCTTATTCTGCCCCATTGTTGCTCTCTGGGACGGGAACTATGTCTGACACGTCCAGTTCATGGACACTGGAACGTGCTTCACGTGTCGGGGACCAGTTCATCATGCTCGCACTTGTTGGTCTGACTATTTTCTGTGACACCCACTTGCCCTACTGGATCTCTGTTGGTTCGGAATTTTGGTTGCAAATTAGACTACTCGTAGACAATTTTATCATCATCGCAGGTATTCTGATTACGAGTGATCTGTTCAAAGAATCTCGACGCATTCGTTCCAATCAGTCGACTAAGATCAAATGACCAGGATTTTTTTTCTACTCTTTTATAATTTGCAAAAGACAGTTTTGTTCAATCATGCAACTCCTTTGTTCATTCTTTTTTGCATATCAGCTTTGGATAAGCATTTGATCTGTTTAGGTACAACTCCAAATTTACCGGCACATATTCCGACATGGAAATTCTTCTGATCTGTGTTAGTCACACATTGTGCATTTGGGTCCCAAGGTATACGTGATGGTAATACTTTGTGGTCGTTATCTACTTTCTTGTTTTGCTTGAAATACATTTCGCTTCGAAGTTTTATTTCCATATGCAATGACAGTATCCATGCTGCATTCTAAGCAGACCTCGAAATTCCAGTGGGTGGTTGTGCGCTTGTGTTGAAATTTGATTCCAAAGCATCGGTGTACCACAAATTAGTAGATATTGATCTTTCTGTTTAGTCTAGGGCGTTGGTGCCAGAGTGATCTTGGGAATTGCTCTATGAGGTCTTTGTTTTGGATAAGGTTATCGTCATCTCACGTCAGTCTCTCGTATTACACGTCTTTCTATGAGGAACAATTGACTGCGCAAATTCCATAGTCATGGGGACCTGTTGTTTTAGTTATGATCACCGATAACTGGAGGCTTAGACTACCGAATTAGTGGGATTTTTTAGTGGAGAACCGGATAATAGTGCACTCGTCTGACAGCAAAGTTGGGTGGCAGTGGTGGGTGCTCACCGCACTACTCCGATGTCTTCAAACCTGGTACTGTCCGCTTAGTGGTGCCCTTAGTGATTTGCCTATCCAAGATTTGAGTTCGCGGTTCCCATAACGGAACTATAGAGCTTCGTTACTTCTGGGAAAATGNGCAAGTAGCAGAAAACCGGGTAAATAAATGTCAGTTTGGTGTCCAGAAAGTATCTGAGCTTGACCAGTCAGAACTTGTACATGATACACCATAAAACGATTCCGATACATAGGATGTACACCGTGGGCTGACTAATCTTGCCTAGGTCTATATGCCGCCATTCAATAGAACCACCACACTCGAATGATCGATGAATATCGTGTACCGATCAGGTCACAGATTATATTANAATCTGGCATCAAACGTCTTGGGTGCATCAAAGTAAACTTTAGTGATCATGAATGCAATTTCTGTATGACTAGATCCTCCTTGGTAAAATTGTAACCGAAATGAGCCAAAAACATACGCAGTCGACCAGAGTTATTGATCAGATTGTCGATACACGACGGTCTGGCTTCATGGGCAATCAATAGTTTGTTTCCACAATAGAAACAATGTGTATGAGAGCAAAATGTGTCTCTCTGATGATACTATTTCAAATTATTTTCATTCATACCTAATGTCTGTGCGGTTTGTATACCTGATCACCTATATGGATAGGAAGAACAATCATCCGATCGAACCGAATAAATTCAGTCACGTTAGAAAAGAGAATCACATAGGTAATGTGTTATCCTGATATCTCTGTTGAATATTAAACAGGCAGTGTTACCTTTGAACTAGATCATAACAGAGGGGTTGATTTCACCAGATCCTGTGTGGTGGTTGACTGCGCTGCGTACAGCATGACAAGTAGATTCGCTTTGATGGATGTTGCAAGCCGATAGACTGTTCATTGATATTTTAAACATTTCGAGGTGACAGAACACAAACATAACTGTAGTTTGAGTTTCCATGGAGCAGAATTCAAATGCTCTCACTCCAACAAAACATCTGGCGTAAAATAGCTGTTTTCTGGTTCTGGTCAATTGCGCAACTGTCTAGGTACTACGCTCAGTACTTACCGGTGTTCGGCCTGGCCCTGATATTTTCCTTGCAAATGTTCATTCAGCCTATCCGATTTCGGCTTTCATGTATCTGGACGCCGACGTTCTGGACTGTGGTGCACACGCCTGTCTGGACGCCTCGATTCGGTTTATTTGCAATATCCGAAATCGCAACCGGCCTGCGTGGCAGGATGTTTTAGCCAAACTATGAACCTTAATGTTTGTCTGATTTCATCTATTTCATATTCACAGTGCTGCTAAAACGCAATACTATTTCACCGAAAGGGGTTCCTTTACATGATACCGAGGGAAAAAGACAATCAACAGCAGGGGCGGTGGTATCGCTTACCAACGACTATTTTAGTTTTCAAATTGGCCGCGGACGCATATCCAGCGCACAGTTCGATCGAAAAATGGTTTATTACCCAAGCGTACAAATTTAGAGGCGTACGACTTAGTCATCCAAGCATGCGCCTTACTTTACTACGGCTGGCTCCTTGGAAAGGACAAGCCGGCTCCATGAATGTCTCTGATGGCCGCCATCCATGCTTAGCGATTTGCTGCAAGATCCTTGCAAATATTGATCCACTTTGTCTTTCATCGGTGAATACCGTACACCATCCGAAGACCAAGTTGATCGACGTCTTCGAATACAGTGTCCAGCGAGGTTTTTACTTGTCCCCCTTGTCGGCGGCGCCAGGACNATACTCATGAAAGTGTCGTCGGGTCTGCGGAGAACATGGCCCAGCCATTGCAGTCGGCAGCGTGGAGAGACGGGTGACGTGGCATCGATTTCTGAGGTCCGCGTTGGAGACCCTGTCCCGCCAGGATGAACCGAAGACCTCCAATCGTCGGATGTCCCCAGCGGCCAGGTTTCGCAGTCGTATATTAGGACCGATCGAACCACTGTGGCAAACACCCTGAGCTTGGTTTTGAGGCTGATCTCGTTCCGGCTCCATAGGGTGGTTCGGAGCTGCAGAAACGCCGTTCGAGCCGTGTCGATGCACAGCTTTACATCATCTTTGGCTTGCCCATTGGGTAGGATGGTGGACCCAAGGCACTTGAAGTTCCATACGATTTCTATTGTCTGACCATCCAGTTGCAGAGGATGTTCCTCTTGATCAGATGGAGTAGCGGACATCTTGGTTTTGTTGGGACCAATCTCAAGGCCGATGTCACAGGCGAATCTTTTGATACGGTTGAGAGCTGTTTGCAGGGCGATCAGGTCCTCTACAAGCACTATCACGTCATCGGCGAATTCGAGGTCAGTAATCCAGCAATCCGCGGAAACTTGGACACCTTGGTAACCTTCTATTGCCCAACGCAGAATCCAATCACCGGCGAAGTTGAACAACACTGGAGATAGCGGGCATCCTTGTCTTACTCCTGACCTCAGATCGAAAGGATGAGACTCTTCGCCATAGGCACGGATACGGGCCTTGTTTTGGGTATAATTCGATCTCACTATGTTGACCAACTTCGCAGAAACGCCATCTGCAAACATAATCTTCCTCAGTGACTCGCGGTCCACTGGATCGAATGCGGCGCTAAAGTCAATTAAACATGTAGATGTGGGGCGCTGAAACTTGTATCGGTGTTCCAGAATTCGCATTGGGATGAAAATCCGATCGATACATCCTTTGCCGAGTTAGAAGACTCCTTGGTTTGGCCGCGTACGTCAATGCCCCACTAGCAAATCGACTAGGCACAAGCTGGGCAGCCACATCTAACAGACTGACGCCCCGATAATTCTCGCAAAATGTCTCTTTCGGGAACGGAAGTAAAAACACTGTGAAATGTAGATACTGTCTATGGGGCAGTCATAACCGAATCATTCTTACAATATGCGTGAGCTCAATCACAGCCAGACAAGTTTGTGTATGTGTAATCGTTGCATATCAATAAGAGATCCCCTCCCACCCCCATCCGCCACAAGAACGGGGAAAACGGTAATTATCATTAAGCTCCCTTAATCGGCGCCCTCGCATCACATAAGCATCGCTTTTACATTTGAAATCGCACAATCTCACCATTTTCGGGATTCATTATACATTCTCAGTCAACAACTGAAGAAATCCCAGAATAACGCCCCGGAAAACCTGGGGAAGGTACAAGAGGACACAATGCGCAAATCCAGGATGCAGACTAGACAGGCGGCAATCATGATCCCGGTTGAATCTAAAGTGAAGTATAAGCGGCATATTGGGGATTAGCCAGCGGTTTTGGCTCGAGGAAGTTGCTCCTCAAATGAAAAGAACCACACCACATATTTGAAGAACGCCATCCCGTGTACATAATACAACGGATGAAAGAAGTCCGGCGTGTACACCGGACTGTCACTAGGAGAAGATCAGATCACTATTTAAACCATAGAACGAAACTCCACAGTCCCATTACAAAAACACAAACACGACGCTCCATGACTTTGAAAACCGGAGACAAATACATTCTTTTTCTTTGCATTTTTCTTCCTTTTATTGAATATATAAAAATGCAGTTTTCAGGGAGGGGGAAGCGGCCAATCAAAGGGCTGCCATTCACAATCCAAAAGACTATCGGTCGAGGCATGCAGAGAGGAGTGTTATGAGTAATCTGTTTGGATTGCACAAAAGAGCGTGATTAGTGGTTTCTCTCAACGATCAAAAATGAATACGAAATTCTGGAGCGAATTGCTGTTCTTAAAATGGTAACTATGGCAAATGCGCATCTGCCATCAAACGGTTCCATTATATACCCTGTGTGCTTGTGGGAATTCTGAAGACTTGTTCCAAATGAGACATTTTGTTGTATGTATGCCAATTTACTGATAGTTCTACAATTATTCGTAGCAAATAGCTATCCTCGTCCCGCACCGCTTTATGGAATTACAACACCAGGACCGTCTTCGACTGTTTCCAGCAGAGCAACTTTTTTCCCTCAGCAGGGTGCGGAAATCAGGTGCTCGAAGGAGACATGTGGCCGTCCCGCTGGTGGAGAGCTGCACTCTGTTTGCCTAGTTTGAGTCTCCAAGTTATTGGGACGTAGTCATTGAGGTTGCGTTTATGGAATTTTTTCACAGTATTCCATTATGCATCTACAAACGCGTTCGAAGGCAACCGGGATACATAAAGCAAACAATCACAGATATACCTTTTTATAATTCGGCTACCAAAGTGAAACCTGTATTCAAGTGAGAAAAAATACGGGTGAAGGAAAGGGTAAATACTTAAAGATAACATAAAGGAGTGCTCCCAAATCGTGACA